CAGAGTGCCTATTGTTGCATTTTTCGCAACTGCTCCGGTTAGGTCGAATAAATGTATTATAAAATTCACAAACCTTTTTACAGTTCTATAGTGAGATACCGAGTGCAGCCTAACCCTAACTCTGACATCCATGTATTTTCTTGATTTTTTTTTCTTGTATTCCCATTTTGTTTTTCTCTTTCTTCTCCCCCCCCAAAAAAAAAAATCCATGTATTTCAGTTCTTGATTTCTACTACGCACGTTAAAAATCTCACAACCTGTCAACATTTATACAAAATGTGTAGCAAGCTTGCTCACAAGTTGTAACGATTCTGTTATTTTTAGTTGCTACAAGATTGTCACTCACAACGTGTTGACAAATTGTTGATTTGCAGGACGATAACAAGTTGTTGGAACAACTCGGTAACGAGTCCGTTGAGCTCAACAACCTTGTAGCAAATTGTCAACAAGCTGGGAACAAGCAGCGAGAACACATCCTGTAACAAGTTGTTGGAAGAGCATAATTGCTACACATCTGCTGCGGGTTTGTTATAACTTGTGCGTTCCGGCCCACTTGTAGACGTAATGGTTGGTTTTTTAGTTAGAAACATGTTAGAAACGTGTACGTTTTGTCAATTTTCGTGAAATAGTTAGTAATTTTCTACAGTGATGTGAAACGCGAAATGGCGGTTTTTCTTCACGTGAAACATGATCCAAACCCCCCTTTACCACCCTCGAAAAAGGTAAAAAGAATTTTAAAACCTAACTACACTGGCTTTCCATGAGTTACCACATATCATTGTCTTCCCCATACACAAGTCTTGCAAATAATACAACAGCTCCAAAAGTCGCAGCATTAGTCGGAAAGGCCCGAATGATTGTCGAATTCATGCCTTGGAAAAACATACGCCATCCTTCGGCCCGATAACTCTTTATCGCACAATCTGTACTACTTGTGTATATACCGTCTAAATCTGCTTGAAACCTGGACTTTATCACGTCACAAGGGTAAGTGGCTATCCAAGACAGGATCCCGGCAATCCCGCCAGCGATGAGGACAGTCACTGGCATCGCCTCGTTCCTAGTCTCGGACCTAGGCCCAAGTTTACATAGTTCATCATAGGAATAAAAGTACACACCGGTTGCAGGAATTTCACGGACTAAAGTAACACACATGCCTTTCGATATTCCCCTTAAACCTTCAGTTCTAAAAACTTTCCACATGCAATCAATTGAGCCAGTGTATCTAAGTTTTTTCCTCTCGGCAATTGTCATTTTCCTAGGGTCCGCCCCCTCACCTTGTACTTGTAACCGGACCTTAGCTAGTTCCAGAGGGGCGGTGATAAGCCCCTGTGCTACACCAGCAACACAGCCAGCCCAAAATACAGTGTATGGTACGTTTTGTAGACGACGATAGGATTCGCTGTAAACACCAAATACACACCCATTGATGAATGCTTGACCGGCTAACGGTGAGGCCATTCCTTTGAATAAACCAGTTATCTAAAATATCACATACATATGGATTAACCCATTAACTCTTACATTTTCAGGAGTAAAATTGTTTGATGTTAGCAAGACAGACTCAATCATGATATAAGAGTGAGATCAGGACTCTAATATATCAATCACCTTCCTTAGAAAGATACTCGGGCAAATTGTGCCTAGAATTGGG